GATCACTTGGGTTGTTACCAACATCTGGTGAAAATTTTATGTCATTAGCACCTCTAGTAATATATTTACTGAGAAAAATGTTGAGGTGTTCAATACTTATTTTACCCGCTGTATATAAAACATTCAGCAAATAATTCTTGCTGTTTAGTTCAGTTGAATCTTTAACTCAGTTTAGTAAAAAAAAAAAACTGTGAAGTTTAGAAAAGTGTAAAATTTGATTCAATGTATTACTGAAAGGTCAATCTAAATATAGCTAACAAGAAGCTTAGGGAATTCATAAGGCCAAGTTAACTTGATATTTATTAGTTTTCAGAAAGTTTTTCTCTTTTTTTCCCACAAGAAAATCCATGGCACAAAGTGTGAGGGTTAAGTGAGTTGGCATGAAATGACCCAAATAAGCAATTTGAATATCTGTAAATCTGTTTAAAAGAGGCTCCGCTAAATTAGAATATCGAGTGAAAAGATAAGGGCATTTAGTTGAACTCTGTATTACTGCACAAAGGAGAAGGCTGAATTTATTTATTTAGTTTTCTGATTGAAGCCAAAAGGCCAGCACTAATAGTTTCTCAGTGTTCCCTGGACTCCTAATCCTCATGAATACTGTATACATCTGGAAAAAAATACCAGAATAATTTTCTACTACTAATCGGCGGTATCTCTCTGTAGCAAACAAGATGTAAATATTTAGAGAAGACCCCACAGGTCTGTGTTTTAGGAGGTCTGTGTCAAATCTATAGTTTCATGTTGCATATTACAGCATTTGTTTTATTGGCTTATTTATTATTTATTTATTATTTATTTTATTGGCTTATTTCAACAGGAAGGTATACAAATTACTGATGAAATGATCACAGTGAAGACCTGTCTAATGTCTGTGACAATCCTGTCCATTATAATGTATGAATTATATAAAAAATGTAAAAAGAACTTAAATCAAAATAAATGTTAAAGGTGCTGCTAGTGATTTGTTAAGTGTCACCACATGTCACCATGGTGACACACATCTCTCTGTCACTCCCTGACTGCCAAGTTATTGAGACAAAACAGGCTAAAAATAAGTCTCAAACAGCTGCTGAGCAAAAAATATAAAGATTTTTGTACCACAAGATATCATTTGTGTAAGATGAGTTTGTTTGCAAAAAAAAAAAAAAAAATTTTGAGACAGTTCAAAAGCCAAAGTGTGAGACAATCAATTATGTGAACAGTCTGTGGAGAAATTTTTTAATTCATGAATAAATAAATAAATAAATGAGTAAGTCCAGGCATATAAAATCCAACTCACAGTGACCTGTTTATGGTGTTTCTGCTGTGAAGTCTGACTGAGCTGAGGGTCGAGTTTTGTCAAGCGTTTGTCAAAGTTTGCCGTTATTTTCCCCCAAAGCTTTTTATTAACTTTGTGAACAACGTGTGAGACACCACTACCAAACGTTCTAACACAGTATTTCAAACTGAGCTGCATGCTTTGGTGTAAAATGAGTGTGTTTTATTTTAAAACTGCATGGAGAAACACTAGACGAACTATCTGAACAAGCTAGAAAATTGTAGTGAGTTCTAAATAACTGCTGAAAATTATTTGAAAAGCTGAAACTGAATTGCCTAAGATAAAAAGGCAGAATGCAAGCTAAAATTATCAGAACCGTATGAAGCTAAAACTAACAAAACAGTAACTAAAGAAGAAAATAAGCTAAATAAAAGCTAAAACTTCAAATCAGTAGCCAAAGGCTGATTTTAACATAATAGCTAAAAGGTCAAATGAACCCAAACGTAATAAAACAAATGTAAATCAAAGCTAAATCGATCAGATCTCTAGTTACAATTAGCATGACAGGAGTTAAAAGAAAGATAATGATGTGAATGCTGAATTGGCATTTATGCATATGCATTGGCACCCTTATTAAAGTTCAGGACAAATAAAAATTTTCAAACATCTTTTCCGTTTTATACTCAGATATATTATGAAAGCAATCTGCAACACTTATTATTTCATCTCCAAACTAATCCCCTTTCGATCTCTGTTGACAGCGTCTCCTCACCCAAACCATGTGGGGCGGGCATGTCTAAAGCTGAAGGTGTATGTCAGACCTCCAGGTAAGTCACGCTCTAACTACACACACACACACACACACACACACACACTCTCTCTCTCTCTCTCTCTCTCTCTCTCTCTCTCTCTCTCTC